GTGTTTGGTTCCAGGCAACATAGCTAAAAGGAGGAAATCAGAAAGCTGAAACATGTTTAGAGGAGGGCAACCAGTTTAGTAAAAGATCTGGAAACCAAACCCCATGAGGAATGGCTGAGGGAGATGGTTATATTTAGCCTAGAGAAGAAAAGATCGAGAGATGATATGATCATTTCACAGCTTCCTTTGGGGGAGGGAAGAGGCCAGCTTATTTTCTGTGTCTCAAGTCAGTAGGGACTGGAGAAAGGGACCCAAATTAAAAGAAAGAAGACTTTGACTAAATGTTAGGAAGAACTTCTTGACAGAACTGCTCTACAATGGAATAAATTACCTGTGGGGATGCTGTGCTCTTGTTCATGTAGTGCTTTTTTCAATAAAGGCTGGATAGCCATCCGTCAAGGATGCTTTAGTTATGGATTCTTCCATTATCAGGGGATAGGGCTTGATGGCTGTCCCAGCTCTACAATCCTATGATCCTATTATGAATAAGAAGACCCCACTTAACCCAACCCTCTTTTGAAGCTACATCTTTCTCAGCTAAGCCTTCAGATGGCACCTTGCTGAGAATACGTTCTGAACGTAGGCTTCTTTGTGCTGCGTTGAAAGCTTTTTTTGTTGCCTTTTTGCTTATCACAAATGCAAGGGAATTCTTCCCTTCACAAACATCACATAAAGGCTTGCTGACAAGCTGCTGGCTGTTGTTGTGACAGCTGAAAACTCTTTTGCATTTGGCCTGACCTAACAATGACCTAGCAAAGAAAAACAAATCTGTCCCTGCTTGCAACAGTTTCAGGTTTATTAGCATCTTGATTGATGCAAGTTGATTTTCCCCTTCAAATTTTGAAGGGGGGAAGGAGAAGAGATCTCATGAAACACTCCTCTGTATGTCAAAAACAGGAAAAGAGCCATATTGAGGCTAGAACTTTGTGTTCAAGCTTTACTGTGGTAAGGTCATCAGGAGATGGTTTCTTTCTTCTTCTTTCACTCATGCTGCCAACATCGCCTCTAAATGTGAGCCATCTTTTACTGTGTAATATATTCCTGAAGAAATACAAAGATGGCTGAATCGCATCTCCCAGTTTGTTGCCAATATTTCTTTTGCCAGCCTATAGAGGTTTCAGAGCACACGAGAAATATTTTTGCTCTGGGGAAAAAAAATTAAATTGATGCCCCTGCACTGTCAGATCTAGAGGACAAGAACACGCATTAGCCAGTCCTACTAAATGTCCATAGCACTGCCATTTTCGCTTTGCATAAGGTATCTAAGATGTGTAAAGATAGCATGAGAGAATTCTCGATTTGCATGACCTGCCTTTCAGGTTAAATGGGAACAATGTAGTTCTTTTGTCCCTGAGGCCCAGGAAACCTGTTCAGATTAGAGCTTATTTCTTAAAATGAAGACAGAGATTGGAAGCAAGGACATGGCAGATTTTATCAAATGCATTTACTGACGTTAGTATTAAAATGACACTACTGCTTCACATTACCTAATGAAAAGGTAAATCCTGAGTTCAGAAAACATATGATTACTGCTTCACATTACCTAATGAAAAGGTACCGTATTTTTCGCTCCATAAGACGCACCTTTCTATAAGACGCACCAATTTTTTAGGAGAAGAAAACAGGAAAATATAATCTGTTTTCTTCGCTCCATAAGACGCACAGACTTTCCAACCCCCTGTTTTGTGGGGGAAAAGTGCGTCTTATGGTGCGAAAAATACGGTAAATCCTGAGTTCAGAGAACATATTAACGTATTGTTCATAAAGAATGGCCGAGAACTTGGGCAAAATGAAGCCACCATGAGCCTGGGTGTTTTGTGAATCAAATTTAATTTCAATTTGTTCTTCCAAAACAAGAGGCTAATGCTAGCAATCATACGTTCCTCAGGATCAAATGATATGCTATTGTTAACATGTCGTTGGAAACTAAAACACAGATAGGTTTTGGCAATGTGTTTGACAATTGAAATGCCCATCTTTACCTTTAGATGATTGATAATAAAGGAAGCTATGTACTTTGCAAACTCCAGGAAGTAGGAAAAACACATGCCATTACAATCAGACAGCTTTCAGCATTCTTAAGGAATTGATACTTCTCACAGCAACTCCTCTGTAGCCTCTAGTTAAAGATTTGGCTGATAATCTGGAAAAAGCCACCCCAGCAATATCATGGAAACTACATGGATGCATGGACTTCAAACATCATCAGGCTGGACTGTAACGGAGAATAATGCATACTTGCAAAACTCACCAAGCAACATAATAATTTGCAATTAATTTGACTGGCTATTTATTCGTGTTTAGCCTGTTTACTTGTTCAGCCTAGTGGGTTAAACAAAATTTATCCCAGCTTCAGGATGAGGATGGCTGAGTCTCTATGTGGCCATTCTCTCCCGCCCCTGCCCCCTTGCCAGCTAATAAGGAAACTTGATTTCAAACAGGCAATGTGAGTGGGGGAGAGGGGGTTCATTCAGGGGATACCTCCTATCCTGGAGGCTGAGTCAAAGATACCAACTAAATGGAACCAGAGGTGAGGCATTTAAAAATGCCCACCTCCAAACTGATTGAAACTATCTGTCAGCTTTCCTTAAGCAACAAGCAACATGCCTGGCAGATCTCTGCCATGACCATTTGGGGACGTTCATTGATAATGTTTCTACCCTATGCCCAAGGAAGTGCATTTTCTCCACAAATGCTCATATTGAATGTTTGATTGTTAATGGTCTAAATGAAGGTATCGCCCATTCTACATTTGGTTTGTGTAAAGGACTGCACACTTTTCTGTGTTGTTTTTCAACACAGGGACAATACTCTTTCCTTCGTGCCACTGTCAAAGACTGGATGTCTCCTCCATAGTGTTGTGCAGCACTGTCATATATTGGGCTGATAGTGGCTTCCCAGTCCCGTAGACCAGTAAAGCTCAGCCACACTACAGGTCTGAAGACTACATGCCCTGTTCCTGCCAGTTCCACTATTCTCATCACGAGGAGTGGTTTCATCAGGAGGTGTATGATACCTGGATGACCCTGTTTCCTGTCTGAGGGTCCTACTAGACACTGAACTAGTAACAATGGAAAAACAGCAGCTTGTGAACAGTCAGGAAGGGGGGCTAAGTGTCCTACGTGGGATAGTTCTGGACCATTTCTCATTGTTCTAGCAAATATCTGCTGGCATGATGGTGGATAAGGCCTTTGCATGGTGAAAAGCAGGCATTACGTAACTCTGGGGCAATAGCTGTGAAAATCTCAGAGCAACCCTTTCTCGAGGGGGTATGTTTCAATTAGAGTCTCCTGAGATCTGTTGGAAGCCTTTCAATTCCACCTACGTTTTAACAGTGGATTAATGATATATCAATTAATATATGTACCAATAATCCAATTAAAACCATTCTGTGAATAAAGGAGCTGGCTGCGTTCCAAATCAGCAGACTATTTAAACTAGCTAATGGAAACATTAGGAGCCCGGCTGTATATTCCGTTTTCTAATTAAGGTAGTATTTGGCTGACACAGAACCAATTTACATGTAAAAATCAAACAATTAAAAAAGGTCACATAACAAAAAAAACTTATGCATTCTTGTGTTTGTACATTGCGCTATTCAAATCTAACAAATAAACAGAACCTACAAACAAGACTGAACTTTACTGCCTATGCACCCAGCATGACACACAGTGGATCCAGAGCTAATTTGGCCTCTATTTGCATTTTATAATTGCCTATCATAATTTTTTTAAAGGCATAATGGAGTCCCCATTAAAATTAGAAAACAAGATTGCAAACATGGCTGTATACAGAGAGCATCTTCACTTTTAAAAATGGCAACTGTGACTTCTTTTCCCCCAGTGAAATGTGCTCAGCCTAAAGGGTGGTGCCCATCAGCCAACTTACCCACTCACACAAGCTACCTCAAGCGAATTGTGAGTAAAGCCAGGCTTGTTCATAATTCAGCAGGATCAGAGATTTTCTGCGCCCCGCCCCTCTAGAACATGTCTACTCGGGGCGGCGTATAAATTTAATAATTCGGCAAGATCAGAGATTTTCTGCAATTGGACTTCCAACGGTATATAGTCACAATTGCTTGTCCTAAGCTTCCAGGGTGCTTGTTTCCAGTCATCCTTGTGTCATTGATGCAGGTGTATGTAATATCATGTGCTTTGCAGCCTGAATTTCACTGGTGGCCATTAGCTCTTACCGTGAAGGTACTGTAGCTATTTGTCATTACAGTGATTACTTTGAGTATAACCCAGGACAAATTCAGCCCATGGAATTGGGGCACCATAGCACAAATGCAAACACCCTCACCAGAAATAAAGGAATTACAGTCATGAATAAACAGGTGGATGGAAGGAGGGAAGTATGAGGAGCAGAAAGATAACATCTTAATAAAGAAGTGGTGCATTCCTACTGCCCATTCCTGAATATAGATTGACCAATAAAGAAGTGGTGCATTCCTACTGCCCATTCCTCCATATACATGTAGATTGACCGGACATTTTCAATTGTGTTTTTCTCTGCTACCACTCCACGTCATTGGATGATAAAGCTGACAACTGCCCCCCATGATTGGATGAAGATCAAAACATCTGTATTTTGCACCTTCCAATGAAATATGACTACCTGTAGCCTCTCCTCTTCTTGCTGTTAGATGTGACCTACATATGATGCCTTTTAAGAGGTTTTGGCTGGGAGGGACTTATCTGGACTAGGATGGATGTCAGTCAACTCAGTAGTGGCCAATTGTTCCCTTTCTACCTCAGATTCTTTTTCCCTCCTGTTTCGAGTCAGGGATCTGTCAGTGTTAGCAATGGAGTTTGTCAGAAGAAGGTTAGAGTGAAGTATTCTGTCAGCTACGTATGTAACCAGTCAATTAGTCAGTAATGATGCTAGTTAACTAGTTAAGCTTAATGATGTAACAAGTTAATATTTTTCATAATATGATGGTCTTTTATCTATGAAGAACTGTAAGTAAACAGAAACATTTTATTCTTTCTTCTTACCAGAGTCTCTGAGAGAATGCATTGAGACAGTGAGTGCCAGTTGAGGTAAACTACCAAATAATGGGTGGTCTACTGAGGGAGACTTGCAGTCAATCTGTTCTGTAGGTTCCTAACTGAACCATTTTATCCACTGCATAATTAGAAAAAGTTTTATTTTTATTGTAAAGCCACACTCAATTTTCTCACACGCTTTTCCATCCCTAAATTACCTGGAGTGGGGGAGGCAATTTTTAAAAAGAAATACGTTATTTTCAAGCACAGAGGCAAACATGCATGTAGTGTCTGTACGCACACACACACACACTGAGCCTCCAGTCTAGATTAAACGAATTATGATTAATTAAAAGAGCCCCTATGGATAATATCCATGTGGCTCAGCCTTCATGTACCGTCTACTTCTAAATTGAACTGGAGGTTATGAAGGTGGAGTGCGACATTTCATGGTTCTCCTGTTTCCACTATTAGCCATGTATTCGTTGTGCTAATTAATTCCCATCTTTGTACTGGATCTGGGTCAGCCCTGCCATGTGGCAGTAACTCATGATGCAGGTTTTACATATCATGAAGAGGCAGAAACATTTGCTATATCTCAATTTGCTATTATTTATTTTTCATGTCAGAGCAATGAACACATGTCCATTTGGTCTTTTGTATCTTGGGTATCCCAATAACTATGTTACTCTTAACATCTCTGCATGTATCATGACTTTGGAGGAAAAAGGGAAATTTTCTTTTCCATCTCTGCCAAAGAAAGGTTTTTGACTCTTTTGTATAGGAACATTTCCCTCCTTTTCTTCCAATGGCAGGAAGAGAGGGGGTGCTGAATTCCAAAAACCTTTCTATTAGACTTGTACCTCAGCCCCATAACATTTTTATTGCATCAAAGCTACACATACATACACACACACAAACACACACACCACAAAAACCGGTGATAATCAGACACCTCTACTGATGCAAGTTCCATGAATGTCAAACCACAACTTTGGAGGATAAAGTCTTTAATCCCTGCTGGGTTTTAATGAGAGAAACGAGAAAGCCCAGAACAATGCAACTTCCATCAAAATTAATTTTGATTGCTTTATATATCGTATCTGACCTCTGGGTGTCAGGAACTAATGTTCCATAGCTTGAAGTTTTGGAATTATTAACTAATTAAAGTTTCCGCTCAAGGTACCCCACTCTACTTAACAGTAGTCTCTAACATACTTACTGTTGGCATGAACAGGCTGGAATGAGAACGACTGTGGAACCAGCCGCGGAGGGCATGGTTTGCAAAGGCGGTTGAAGCTGCATCAAACAGAAAAACATTTGCAATGCATAGGCAGCTACTTTCCGTTCAGAGAAACTGGCAGTTTTTCATGTGCCATTCTCCACATAATCAGCATCATTACCTGAACAGGCCTTCAGAGCTGGCGAAGGTGATCAGCGACTGCATTGAACTGTCAGCAGCCCAGACTGACAAATCTCTGGACTGGTCTGGAAATTGTTTGCTGCCTGTAGAAATAAAATGAGGCTTTTCTTGCTCTAAACAACCGAAGTGGGACTTTTTTTTTCCAGTGTGTGTGTGTGTTTGCAGTACCGAAAACACTGATATCCTTTCCTAAATCTTCCTTTTGGTTAAGATTAATATGCAGCTGTTGGAATCAGAAGAAGCAGGTTCACTCTGAAACATAAGCCTGACAAGCCTTCCTTTTCTGCTGCTTGATGTCAGATATTACCATTATGCAGACAGCAGAAGGTGCACATTGATCCAAATACTTTGAAGATACTTCATTTGAAAAGGCTGCCTGACATTTGCAGTAAGACATATGTGCCAATACCGGGAACAGTAATGGGTGAGGTAGAAGCTAATTACAGTGTTTCCCCTGTCAAGCTGCTTGGTTAGTGTAGTTTAGGGAAGATAGCGCACACCTGCATAAGCAAGAGCAAGCCATTCCTCCAGCCAGAAGCCTGAATGTTGGGTTTGTGTTCTCTGCTAGGCATATCCTGCCAGCTCCTTCTTCAGCCACCTCTGCGGTCACCTGTCCCAGTTTGCTTGAGGAGTGCCATAGATGTAGTTGATCTTGATTTCAGTATGGCTCTTAATGAGGTAACTCATGACAAATCTAGTGGCCAAAGCTGCTTAGATTGTGGACTGGATGATGCTACCATTAGGTGGATTTTAAGATGACCTTCACAGATTGTAGAACTGGGACAAAACAAACAAACTTAGTTTCAACAAGGAAAAGTCTAAAGGTCTACATTAAGGCAAGGAAAACAGATGCAAAGGTATAAGATGGGTGACAACTCACATAGCAGTAGCACACATGAAAATGATCTAGGGGTTAAACAAAACATATGTTGACAGTCTGACAGAGCTGCAGAGAAAATGAATGCAATACTAGGCTAAATCAACAGAAGTATAGTGTTGAAATCAACCTAATTATACAACTTTATTCTGCTTTGATCAAACTTCACCTGGCACATTAGCCATTCCTCCAGCCAGAAGCCTGAATGTCGGGTTTGTGTTCTCTGCTAGGCCTATCCTGCCAGCTCCTTCTTCAGCCACCTCTGCGGTCACCTGTCCCAGTTTGCTTGAGGAGTGCCATAGATGTAGTTGATCTTGATTTCAGTATGGCTCTTAATGAGGTAACTCATGACAAATCTAGTGGCCAAAGCTGCTTAGATTGTGGACTGGATGATGCTACCATTAGGTGGATTTTAAGATGACCTTCACAGATTGTAGAACTGGGACAAAACAAACAAACTTAGTTTCAACAAGGAAAAGTCTAAAGGTCTACATTAAGGCAAGGAAAACAGATGCAAAGGTATAAGATGGGTGACAACTCACATAGCAGTAGCACACATGAAAATGATCTAGGGGTTAAACAAAACATATGTTGACAGTCTGACAGAGCTGCAGAGAAAATGAATGCAATACTAGGCTAAATCAACAGAAGTATAGTGTTGAAATCAACCTAATTATACAACTTTATTCTGCTTTGATCAAACTTCACCTGGCACATTGTGTCCAAATTTACATACCAGATTAACAAACTGGAATGAATAGAGAGGAGGGTGGAGGGTATGGTAAAACCACACCCTATAAAGAATCCTGAAGCTGAGGCTCCAATACTTTGGCCATCTCATGAGAAGAGAAGACTCCCTGGAAAAGACCCTGAGGTTGGGAAAGTGTGAGGGCAAGAGGAGAAGGGGACGACAGAGGACGAGATGGTTGGACAGTGTCATCGAAGCAACCAACATGAATTTGAGTAAACTCCGGGAGCCAGTGGAAGACAGGTGGGCCTGGCGTGCTCTGGTCCATGGGATCACAAAGAGTCAGACACGACTTAATGACTAAACAACAGCAAATAAGGAATGGATGAGGGACCTGGGTATTCATAGTTTGCAGAAGAGAAGACTAAGAGATATTATCAGTGTCTTCAAAAATTTGAAGGACTGTCACATAGTGCATGGATTACGTTTTGTTTTGTTTGTACTACCAGAAGGTAGAACCTAAAGTCATGGATTCAAATTATGAGAAAAGAAATTTTACCTAAACAATAGGAAGAACTTCTTGATGGGGAAGAGCTGTTCACCAATAATTCAAATTATGAGAAAGGAGATTTTACCTAAACATTAGGAAGAACTTCTTGATGGGAAGAGCTGTTCACCAATGGAATAGGCAGCCTTGGAAGGTGATGGGCTCTCCATCACTGGAGGTTTTTAAACAGAGTCTCAATGTCTACTTCTTATGAATGTGTTCACTATGAATTTCCTCGTTCAGTCAGGAGTTAGTTAGTTAGTTAGTTAGTTAGTTAGTTAGTTAGTTAGTTAGTTAGTTAGTTAGTTAGTTAGTTAGTTAGTTAGTTAGTTAGTTAGTTAGTTAGTCTTTCATAGTACTCATCTTGCTGCCAGGGCCATTCTTGTTGCTTCACAACAAAAACAGAGAAACTATAATAGGAGATGGCAAACACAATAACAATCAAAACCAAAATCAAACATCAACTAAACATACACCACCAACAAAGTAACAATTTAAAATAATATCATAGTTTAAAGGTAAGATAGTGGAACAGATGCATTATGCTGAAACTACCACTTCATTAAGATGTTGAATACTCCGGGAAAGCCTGCTTGAAAAGCCATGTTTTCAGTGTTTGTTCAAAGTTTCCCAGCAAAGTGTCCGAATGAATTTTGGGAGATTGTTCCAAAGACAACGGGTGGCTGCTGAGAAGGCCCGGTTTTGGGTCTTCTCTTTCCAGGCCTCTGACATGTACAATATGAGTAGGATTTTGGCCATCTATTCCAAAAAGTTACACAGAAACAAACTGGGGAAAATCACAGAAAAATATTTCTATTTTGAAAAATTCTCACCAAAGTAATATAATTTTTTTTTCCTGGTAACATTTTTGGGGAGAGGAGGGGAAGGGAGTGCAAATAAATTTTGCTGTCCTCTGCAACTGACGTGAATGTGAAGTAAAACAAATGTATTATTGGGAAAACTGGGCAAAACTGAAATTTATTACTTTGCCTGTAGTAAGTAAAGCAGTACAGGAAGACGGAGAACATATTGGCTAAAGAATGACTTGGACACAGCATAATGCCATTGGCTGAAATCTATAGCAGGGGGAAATTGCATGAAGTACAGTACTTCCATGGTACTTCATATTAGTTATGAGGTGAGACTCATAACTAATTGTAAATTCTTGCTATGAACTGTGTGACTGAGTGCAGAATTCTGGATTCTGGACATATATCAGAATAGGCACGATGACATCCAACATCCAACAGGAGCGGAAGGAAAAGAAATCTTTTTTACCCAATTTTTGTCCCTGATACTAATGAGATGGAAATGTATGGCAAAGGAGCATACATAAAGTTTCAACAGAGCACATTAGTGTGCACACCCACCAGGAAGATATCAATGATAGAGTAAGACAGAGAGGAGAGTGAATATGGGAGCTAAAGCAGATACATTAAGAACAAAAGTGTGTGTGTTTATCACTGTCATGGTAAATTTTTCACACGAAGAAGTGGGTCCCCATTCCTCTACCTTTGTTTGGAGGCTGATGAGCAAGAATGAGTCCCCAATGGTGTGCTGATAAAGAAATCTACACGTGTCACTCTGAACACCTGCTCCTGTACAACAACTTCTGCACATTTACTTACACTTGTGGTTGCTTCCAGAAAGCACAAAAACAAATTATGCCTTTTATTTAAGCTAACACACAACCGTTTTTAACCAATGTACAACAGAAATCTTCAAGCTGCATATTAACCTCATCTGAATGCCACAAGACGTGGCCTGAATACTGCTACAGTCTTGTTGCCAAACTATGCACCTGGTTATATAACTTGCAGTTCTGGATCTCTGTTTACATGTATGGATTATAAAAGACACTGAAGATGATTTTAGATGCAAAAGGATTTCTCTCGCGTATAAAAATAAGTCCAAAAATAAAAGAGGTGGGGAAAAGAGACAGAGTTGGATCCAAGCAAAATGAATTGCAAGCAGGCCAAGTTCATTTTCCATTGAAATGAACGGGACTTAAATCATGCCAAACAATCCAATAAGAATAATTAATTTGCTCTGGGTGTAGGCAGTTGTGTTTGTATTAGATCTTGCAGCTTCCTATCACTGATTTGTTTTATAGCTCTAGGAAGCTATTATGACATATTTTGAGCAATAAAGTCAGTTATAGCTTTGTCTTTAGATATACAGCAAACAGTGATATTAAAAAAACAACAGAGTAGTATATTTATTTAACATCCAGGTGACACTTTAAAGTAGATGTCACTTAAAAATGTACAGAAAGACATGTCCTGCTCTCATGACATTGCCCTTCAATCCTACATAGGTTTGCTCAACAATAAATTCATGGTTAAAGCTATATTTAGGTTAATTTTTTGAAATACAGAATTAAAATAAATCATAACCACCAACAGTAATAATAATTATAGTTATTTCATAACTGTGACTGAGAGTATGACTGCATTGGCAATTTACCCCACTGTTTGTGTAGGAGTTGGCACAGTTAAGATCCAGGTATTTATCAGTAAGGCAGAGGAGTTGTCAAACTCTCCTTAGAGCTGATTGGAAAGAGGTGAAGCACCCCAACAAGGACGGCTTTGCCAGAGTTACCCCTGCTGCTGTTTTGCCTCTTCCAACCTCTTCTCCTCCCCCAATTTGCTCCTTCCTCAGCTTATGTTCCCTCCTCCTCCTCCTCCTCCACACTCAGCTGTTTCCTTTTGCCAAGGGGCTTTTCAGACCTACTCATCTCTCTTTTTAATAAGTGGGAAAAGACTGTGCTAGATAGAAAGAATGTTATGCCAGTTTAGCGCAATATCTTTTGCAGTTTTTACGGTCTTGCATGCTGCCTCTAGTAGGTGTGGCTGGAAATGACCTTTCTGGCTGGGGTGACTGTCAGTCACTAACCAATAGTTCTTTCCCTGCCTCTCTGTT